GTGAGCAATGACGGGGGTGGGGGGCGTTTTTATCTCATTTCGACTGGTGCAGGAAAATGGAAGGAGGGTTTCTGGGGATCCTGTGTCCCTGTTAGAATGAGAGGTGGGCCAAAAGGCAAGACAGCCTGTCTTTTTCCCTGGTCTGGATGGCCCCGGGACCGCTTCAGGGCATCTGTTGAGGTAAAGCGTCACACAATTAAACCGAGTCCTTTCCTATTGGCTCGGTGGTACCTCCCCTCTCTAGCACCTGAAGCTGTGCTCGCCCTGTTATTGTATTGCAGAGGCTCCAAGGGAAGGAGACACGAGCCTTCGATATGTAATTATTCAGGGGTTTTCAAAGAATTTCCAGCTTTACTTCCTCCCATTCACTCCAAACCCAGCAGGGTGAGTCCTATTCTGTATTCCTGGGGAAGAGGATAATTTCCCATTGTCTTCCGACTGGAGGGTTTGTCCTGGACTCTACATAACAATCAGGAGATTTCCAGGTTTTCGTTTCACGTGCTTTGTAAAAAGGTTCCAAATGCTTTCTTCTTACAGAAGCTCAGGAAGTTGAGTTTCTGAGAGCTAGAGGCCAGAACTCGAGGGAAACCTCTAAATCCTGCCCTCCTTCACAGGTCTTGAGCCCAAAGCCTTCTTTTGAAAATTTGAAACCAAGTCCCTCATTGCATTTATCTTCCAGAAGAGCAGGGAAAACAGGATTTAACTCGTGAGTTCTGTAACATTACCCTCTACTTGAGCATCATGCCTCAGCTAGGCGCCCAGGTGGACAGTGTTCGTTTACGGAGGGTTAAGGCAGGGCTGAGCTGTGCAAGAGGTGAGGACTTGGGCAACTGTCTTCTCCTTTCGGCCCTGGTTCTCACTGCTCCACCCGACCCAGGACTTGAAACACCAGCTCTTCTCTCTTTGTCATGGAGATATCAGATGTGGTAGAAAAAGTCAGAGAACCTCGGTTTGAATGTAAACCTTACAAACTACGTGATTCTGGACAAGTCCTTCCTTCTGAGCCTTAATTCTCAAAATCTGTAAAATGGGCTGTTGATAATGCCCGCTTTGGTCCCCTCTCAAGGGTTGCTGTGAGATGAAAGCCGTTAGACAGTGCTGTTACAATGCAAATAGAAGTCACTGCTGTGTGAAAGTAAGTTACTACTATTTTCAGAACCTCCTCTTTGGATTTAATTTATTCAAGAGTGAGAATCTAAGCTACTTGTTCTATGTTCTGGGTGCATCTGTATTTTAAACCTCATCAGTTATCCTGGACTTTGCCTTAATTAGAGGCATTTTTAGCAACAGCAGGAGAAAGTTATTTCTTTGGGGCTGCAGGGTATTTCTAGCTCACCCTGGCTGGTGAGGTAAATGGTAGTTACTTGGCTAAAATGGTGTGGAAGAGGGAATAAACTTACCAGCATTGGCAGGGCCGTCCCTTTTCTGCTTTAGCGACTCAGAGGTCTGGTTGTGACTCAAGGTTGGGCACTTTTGGGAGAAAGCAGTGGTGGAGGGCAGACGGTGGTCAAGCTCTGAGATTCAAGCACATCTGCCCCTTGACCTCTCCCCAGCCCTCGAGGGTATAGGGTGTCTTGGCCTCCCTTCATGTATACACAGACGTTCACTGGGTACCCACTGTGTGCCAGGATCATGCTGAGCAATGGGCGCACAGACTTTGGGCGAGTTGAGCCCGGTTTTGCCCTCTTGCTGCTTGTAGTTTAAGAGGAAAATGAATAAGTAATGTGACCAGAGAGAAAGTATCAAAGACTGCAGGCGACCTAGGGCGTTAGAGGAAGTTGGTGGAACCTAGGCTAGGTGCAGGGGGAGGCCTCTTGGAACCTGATGGATGCATAGAGTTTGGCCAGGCCAGGGGCTGGACAGGGAGGGAGGGTGAGCAGACGGATGCCAGCATTAGGGGAGGCCAGGAGGGGAGAGAGAGAGAACAGAAAGAAGTCCAGTTAGGCTTTTGGGAGTCTTTTTCTGCCTTCTCTGTGACTGTCCTTGTTGCTATTTTAATTGTGACTCCATCTGGATAAAAATGTGGGACGCTGGTAACCTCTGGGTGGTTTTTCCTTAGCTCCATCTCTAGCTTTAGCTCAGGATGTCTTAGATGGGGCAGAAGGACAGAGGAGGGCAAAGTCTGACCCTAGGCTCAAGACATGTTTCTACACAGTTATAAGTCTAGTGTAAAATTCCCATGCATCTTGGTTTTCCTCCTGATGCTGGGCAGCGTGAAGAACAAGGCCATGCAAGTTGGGGTGGAGGGGGTTGGGGATCCTGCCTTCTCTCGATCTACCTGCCCACCCTGACGTTGACACGGAGGAAGTGGCGGCTTGTTTACAACCCAGATCCGGTTTTGAAGGTAGGAGGAACATCCTTGTCAATTGCAGAATTCAGCTGTGGCCTGTGCCTGCTCCCATCTCATGCCCAGGCGGGGGTCCTGAAGGGGTGGGGAACGGTCAGGGCTGCAAAGTCTCTTTTTACTTCACACAGGAAGAAGCCAAGGCCCAGAGAGACCAGACGATCAAGGGCAAAAATCACACAGTAACTAGTTACAGAGCAGGACTAGAATCCCGGTCTCTAATGCCACCCGTGTACAATACTTCTGTCTGGGGCCTTCACAATTTGCATATGGTAATTTGATTTTACATACATTATCTCCTCTGATTCTCTCAGCAGTTCCGTGCAATAGGCAGGAATTAAGATCCTTATTTTGCAGATGAGAAAACTGAAGCTCGGAGAGATTGTTTGGTTATGAGGCTCACACAGTCTCAGGGTTTGCTGATTATCCACCTTAGAACAGCTTGGAAGGTAGATAATGATTACAGAGGAGGGCTTTCAAGGAGTCAATTAACCATGTTTAAGCATTCTTGCCAGTTCTCCAGTATCCACGGTGCAAATCAAAATCAAAATCAGCAAGTAGCTGGTCCTGCCCTACTAATCCTTCCCTGCAAATTGCCGTCTGAACCTCAAGCCAGCAGTCTGTGTGGGAAAAGCAGCTCCCTATCTTCAAATCCACACTTAGGGGACACGTGTTTTCTGCTGGGACTCTGACAATCACTCTTGTAGAAAAGGTTCTCATTAAATATGTGTTGAAATAAACAATAATTGAACCATCTGCTGGGTGTTCTGACTCTAGCCATGTTCCCCTCATTTTCCCTTGGGGGGTTAAATAGGGGTCCATGTGCCTTTGCTGCTGGTCTGGGGAGGCCACAGGGTGGTCCACACCTGGTAAGGTGATGCTCACAAGGCAGTGCTGGTCCAGATGGGGAGTGAGAGCTGGCAGTGGCCCAGTGGCTTTCCCAGAGGATAAGTGATTTGCCTAGTGGGGAGAACTGGGTGGTTCTATGATTTTGGTGAGATGGACAGAAAAGCTGGGGGAGAAAAGCAGGGCTGTGAGGAGGTAGGGGACTGCAGAACGTGACGCCAGGTCCCCAGCAAGTCTGGCATGGGGTATGGGAGAGTGGTAGAAGACTGGATTTAGGGAGGCAAGGAAAGGCTGTCTTTCCTTTGTCAGCTTGTCACCAGGGGTGGTGCTAGGTAGCGGAAGGGGGTCTGCTAAGCTAACTGGAGAGTCCTAGAGGGCAGGGGTAGGACGAGGAGCATTTGGGGGCACTGAAATGACCATCCCCTCCTCCCTGTAAACCGAGGGCTTGCATGCAACTCTAGAAGTAGTCTCTCCTTCAGCCCTGCTTCCTCTGTCTTATCAAAAACCAGGGTTTTGGGCTTCCCTGGTGGCTCAGTCGTTGAGAGTCCGCCTGCCGATGCAGGGGATACGGGTTCGTGCCCCGGTCCGGGAAGATCCCACATGCCGCGGAGCGGCTGGGCCCGTGAGCCATGGCCGCTGAGCCTGCGCATCCGGAGCCTGTGCTCCGCAGCGGGAGAGGCCACAACAGTGAGAGGCCCGCGTACAGAAAAAAAAAAAAAAACACACCAAAGGAAAAAAGACCAGGGTTTGAGTCCAGAGCACAGTGAAACACAAAATGAAACAGAGGACAGGCCTTGGCTGCTCCCACAGACCTGCAGGAAAATATTGACCTTAGGTTTGCCTCTGCAGTTCCAACAGCAGTTTTATCTCCTTGTGTTTCAAAGAAGGTCTGGATCTTCCAGCTGCATGTAGGGTTGATTTAAAGTGCGTCCTTGCCACTCTTTGAGTGTCTGCCCCCACTGCCCCCAGTGGCAAGCTTTACCCCCTTGGGAAGGGGACTTGCAGCAAGCAGGGTTGGCTGTGGGCTGAAGGGATTGGTGTGTGTGCCCGTTTTGGGGGTGAGGTAGGGTGGCTCAGTGTTCGTTCACCCAGGAGGGGGTCACAGGTAAGCCACTGTGCTGGGGCCATGCGTCCCGCGCGGGTGTTCTGTGTGCAAGGAACCATTGTATAACTGTGTGATTGTTGAGGTGTGGCGAGTCCCTTGTCGGACGTGCCCTTGCTTTTAGTGCCTCTGTGCCGGATGTATATTTACTGTGCTCCGGGCAGGGGCAGTTTAGCTCGATCAAGGGTAGTTTTGGTGCCCAGAGTTATTGAAACTGTGTGAGTTGCACCACGGGGGCGGGTTCATCTGGACTCTAACGTGCCCGCCGCGTCCTCGGAGCTAATTTTCTCTGGCTGTCCGCGCTCCCCCGGAGGTGGGGATGCGACAGGGGGCGGGCGAGGTGGTCGTGTGGCGGGACAGGAGGCTGTGCAGTCGGGAGAGGAGACCGGCCGCGGTTGAGGACGACCTCGACGCGACCCGGTAGAGGAGGCGAGAACTCCAGGGAGGACGGGCGAGCCCCACGCGACTCCTGGTTGCCGCAGGGCGCACGGGCGACGAGTAGCGCCTGCCAGGGGACCGGGCCGCGCGCCCGCTGCCTTGACTTCCCCATCCCCTCGCGGAGGAGGGGCCGCAGCGGAGAAAGTGCGCGAAGGGGCCGCGGCGGCGAGCCTCCCACGTGACGGGGCCGCGCCGAGCAGAGCGGGACCCGGCGGCGGCGGGCGCAGCAGGGCGGCCTGGAGCCCCGGGAGCGGCGCGCGCGGCCCCGGCCGGCCGGCGTCCCGGCCTCGCGCTGCACATTCTCTCCTGGCGGCGGCGCCACCTGCGGTCGCGTTCGCCCGAACATGGCGACACGGAGCAGCAGGAGGGAGTCGCGACTCCCCTTCCTCTTCACCCTGATAGCGCTGCTGCCGCCCGGGGCTCTCGGCGAGGTCTGGCCGCCGACGCTGCCCGGCGGCCGCGCGCCTGGGCCCCAGGATCGGGGCTTCCTCGTGGTGCGGGGCGACCCGCTCGAGCTGCGGCGTGGGGCGCGCGGGGCGCCCCGGAGGGCGGACGAGAAGCCGCTCCGGAGGAGACGGAGCGCTGCCCTGCAGCCCGAGCCTATCCAGGTGTACGGACAGGTGAGCGGTCGGCCCCCGCCTTCCCCCGGCTCTCTCCTCTCCCTGCGCCGCCTCACCCCCGCATCCATCCTTGGCTGTCGCCTCCCAGGTGCAGGCACTGCTGGGGACTTCCCGGCTGGCGTTTGTTTTTTTCCCCTCCTCACATAGGAGTACAACCGTCAGCACTTGAATCGCCTTGATCTTTCCTTCTTCCTGTCGATTTTAGCAAACGGATTCCAGGGCACTCGCGGGGTGCACTGCCTGTTTCCCCAGGGTGTGTGCTCACCGGTGGAGTTTCCGGCAGGTATCAGAGGGGTGCAGCTTCATTTTACGTGTGGATAAAAAACGGGCTTTCTTTCGTGTATCATCAGTTAGCAGCCGAGGCGAGCACCCTGCAGATGCAGTACATTTACCCAGAACCGTCAGAGGAGGGGGTTTCCACACTTACCGTTTTTAACCACAATTAAGGTGGGCAAACCTGAAAGCTTACTCTCTGGGTATAGTCCAAGCAACAGGGGTGTGTGTGAGTGTGTGTGTGTGGGCTGAATTTTTTTTATTTTGGACAGGAATATCCCTCATGACACTTGGGAATTTGAAAGACTGCAATAATATGGTGGGCATTATTATTCAGTAAGTGATTTATTTCTATCTAGGCAATGGATTTAATTAGATCATAAGGAACATGAATTTCATTTTTATGGCAGGACTTACTTCTGGCAATTACAAACTGAGTTTGTGGGTTAGTATCAGCGCTGGCAAAATTAATTTGTCCGTGTTACTGCCTCATGAGACTCGCAGTCCTATGGTTGAGACTGACATCAGCAAAACTGGAAGGTCGGGGGGGAGAAAAAGTGGGACCAGTGGAGGTGGTCAATTACACGATTTCTAGAGTCAAAATATTCCCTTCAAAGTAGAAATTAAAGGATTAGTCTGAATTCTGCATCTCTTCACTGATTTTCCTTTAGCCGTTTCTTCAAGAAATATACAGAGTTAAATGTTCAACCCTTGGAGCCAGGAAGAACGTTATAAACCATCTCCCCTATTGTGCCATTTTGTTGATGAAGCCACCAGAGCTGGGAAAGGTGAAGTGACTAGCCCAGGGTCACATGGGGCAGGGTTGCCTGCTCTTTAGTTTTTGCCTGCATTGTCTCAGTGACCTTCGAGTGATCAAATAGTCGCCCTCTCTTTATACAGTGCTTCTTAAATAACTTTTTTCTAAAGTAAAATGTATTGGTAAGAGAGGGGATAGGGATGGAGGTGAGAGGATGGGAGCATTTGCCTTCCATCCACCATCAGCTCCTGGGCAAGAGCGTGTGCCAGTGGGCATATAACTGCTGGTGGGCATGGGCTGCGGGAGCCTGCCTGTTTGGCTCCCTCGTGGGTCCAGATCCTTGTTCCCTTCCCCACCCCCATCTGAAACTTCTTTTTTGTATTGTTGAAAGAAGTCAGCAAGGTCCTTGCTCCCCACAGGGATGCCAGCGTCCTGATGGAGGATGGGGGAGGGAGAAAGAGAGGCTCCCTTGTTCCTTGAGCCTTCCCCATCAGCCCAGCTCTGCTGTGGGCTTGAGTCAGCTTTCTGGGGGCTGGGAGTGGAGAGCCGCAGGAGACGGTCCCTTCCGGAGCTCAGGTCCCTAACATCTATAGTTTGGGCTGCGGGAAGAGCTTCCTGGTCGCAAAAATATGCACACAGGTGCCATTTCTTCCTCGGGTTTGGTTTGTGAAAGCTCCTGGGGTTTTGGGGCCAGTTAAAGACGAACTGTGTTCTTCTTGGGAGTGACTAAAAAACGCTCGGCTTTTATATTTCTGAGCCAGATTGAGTTTGGTTCAGTGGAAGGTTGGAGAACTAGCCCTCGGACTCATAATGAGGAATTCCTACCAAGGGTGAGGACCCAGAGCAGTGTTTTTTCTTCTCCGAGGCCTCCCCCCTGTGCCATTGTTCTTGGCTGCCCTGAAGCTAATAAAACTGGGATTAACTTGAATCTGTAAGGATTTGAGTTAGATAGAAGGAAGGACTTCCCGGTCCTGGGCTTTCTGCTACAAACACTGTCTGGTGCAGACCCTTTAGAATGCAAGCACAGGAATCAGTAACTGAAGGGGTTTGGCGTGTCCCTCTTGGAGCTCTGGAGGGGCGCCCAGCTATTTGGAACAATCTTTCTAGCAAAGATGCCCATTTGCCTCTGTTTTCCCTGGGACAGACCTGGTTTTTACGTTATCCCTGATGGTTATGAAAAGTGCTGTGTTCACTCAAAAAAGTGTCAGGATGCAGACTATAAATTAGATGGCCATTCTGCTTCTAGCCCTAAGCCAATTCCCATGTTATACTCCCCCCAATCTCTGCCCTTTAACTTTGAAATGTAAGGACTTGCCATGTTTTTCCATAGTGTCACTTGAATTCAGTGTGATTCTATATAGGGATGGGGGTGCAGATGAGGGGGTGGGGAGAGTTTTCATCCCTGCTTTCAGAAAGCTTAGAATTTAAGGAGGAGATAAAGCAGATGCAAATATACAGGCATGGAAATGTACCAGACAGGGACAGGGAAACATGGACGTGATTCACCAGCCACAACTCTTCAGTGGGGTGTGAGTGGGTTGCTTGATATGGGAGGGCATGGGAGATGGAGTGATAAAGGGTCAGTGGGCTCAGACACTCTGCAGCTTCTCGCTCTCTGACCTTTGAGTGAGGTTAAGAGGATGCCTGGCAGCACAGATTAGGGCTGGAAGCCGAAACTGCCTGACGGAAGAAGCCCCAGGGGTGATGTTCAGGCCACCAGCTCCAGGGAGGGGAGCAGGAGGGCTTTTGCATCTGAGAAAGAGCCCTGTGTTGCAGTCAGTGTCAGTTCTTTTTCTCTGGCTCTGCTAACCTATGGAGTAAACTAGGCTTAGTTGTGTCCCTTCTAAAACAGGCCAGACCCAAGAAGGGGGATTCCAGAATTCTTGTCACACTGGATTTCCTCCTGATTTTATGTCAGCTCCGTGCCTCTGTGCCACCTGCTTTTCCCTCTGCCTCAAACGGTCCTTCCCCGTTTCTTTCTTTGCTTGCAAAACCCCTCTTCCCTTTTTCAGCACCCAAGGAGTACTTCTTAGTATTCCCAGGCTCTGGTGGGAAGAGTTCTTTTGAGCTTGGTAACAGCACTGACTGCCTGGTGTTCTCATTGCTTGTTTAACTGTTTCATCTCCCTGTTTGCTCCTTGAGGGCATGGATCAAGTCTCTCCTCTGTGTCCCTGGCACTCGGGAGGCCCTTAATGAATATTTGTGGACCAGCTGCCCACCTGGAAAGAGAAAGGCCTAGAGGGTAGGAGGCACATCCAAGTTACAGGAAAGGTATTTATGAGGAGGACTGTCGCGAGCCCACAGTGGAGAGTGGAAGTGAGTTGGCTTAGGATGTGGGTCTGGGAGCCCTGATTTTCCTGTGCTATTTTGGGGTTTATTTTGAATGAAGAGTTGGGATTCTATCGTACAGAAGGCTCCCTTTTAGGGCTCTCATGGTATTGCTAATGGTATTGTTTTGGGGAAAAATCCTTTGGAATGAAGCGCAAAGCCTAACAGGATTTACAGGTTTATTTTCCTTCCAATGAGCTCTCTCTTCATAATTCCTGCTTTTTAGAGTCCAGGGAGTATTCAGTGTCCTGATTTGAGACTGAAAATAAAGTGTCTGTTACAGCACAAGGCCCTGAGACAAAGAGCCTCCTTTGGGGGTGGAAGACTGTGTAGCTTTAGATCTCTTTGGGGTAGATTCTTGTATGATACACTTGCTTGGGAAAGAATTGGCTGGTTGATTCTGAAGTTAGGATGTTTGACCTGTATGCTTCCAAAAGATGAGAAGGCAAAGCATTTGCTGTTTCAAGTTGGCTTCTTCTGCAGAGGCGAAGGGTTCCTTGGCGTTTGGGGTTGGCTCGATCATGGGTGTGACCTTGAAAGACTTCCTGATCTCACTTGGCATCTCTTCTTGGGCACAGTTCTTGGCTCGGTGTCTGGCCACTGTTTAATAGCTTGCCTGTCTTGGGGCGTGGCAGGTGGAGGCTTTGAGAGGTGGAAGGGATGGGAGGAAAACGGACAGGGAACAGGAGTGAGGAGATGGGGAATGAAAAGGATGAAATGTAAAGCCATGCAGTCCCTTTATTTAGCTTTCAGTAGGTAATGCATATTTGCAAAACAATATTTGAACAGAAGAGTATGTAGTGAGAAGTAAATTTCTCTCCCTTACATGACCCCATTCACCCAGTGTCCACGGTCATCAGTTTTTTGTACGTCCTTCCAAAAACATTCTACACACATGTAACATATATGGACATAAAATTTCAAACTTGAAATATCAGCGGCTTTCTGTTATCCCCAGCCCCTGATATCATGAATAATGACATCAGCTCCAAAATATATTTATGGCATAATTACTGTCAATGGGAAGGGAGCTACCTGAAGTGTCATGGTATAAAATAGATTGTTACTTTTCCTCCAGGCCAGGGTGGGAAATACCAGTCCACTTCAAGGATTCCGGCCAGCCAGGGCCAGGAGAGCAGCATTACATAGCCCTCTTTTCACTTGGAAAGGTGCTGGAGGGCAGTTCCCTAGAGATATAGAGCCCAGGTTTGTGAGAACATCAGAATACTGAGATCACGGATCTTGGCTTTAACTCATGTTCTTTTAGAAAATGTCTTCTTTAGATTCTGGAAAGTGGAGTCAATAGTATGCTTAATAAACTGCTTTGAGACCTGGGATCCAGGAGGCAGATTCTAACAGCAGTGAACATCCCAAAGCAAAAAAATGGATGCTGTAGGAACATTTCATTGTCGTATTTTGGGCTGTTCCTCCTTAGAGATGACAGCCATCTTGGTAGTGTCATTGTTTAATCCGAGGGCCAAGGATGGATGGAGACAAGGCTTGTACTGTCCCCTGTAATGGACAGACACAGGAGCATGCAGATAACCTGGAGAGCAGGTAACCCAAAGAATAACCTATTTGCCTTTGCTATGTATTTATTTAGTGTTTTTTTTTTTTTAAGGATCAGTTTACCTTCCTGATT